GAAACAAATCCCTCTAAATGTTTAATGAACTTAAAGCTACAGTAACAAATGTTAACACAAAAGGTATTATAGCAAAGTTTAACCTTTGTGCACCATCCATGGTGTGCTAAAAATTTTTTTTTCTATTGATACTATTTTAAATTCTTTTTAGTCACTCTGCAATGTTTACTTGAAAAGTCATAATAGAATTAAAACCCAAATATGAAAAATTGATAGTTTTCTCTGTTGAGAATTTACAAAAATATTAAAACATTAAACACTATTACATTGTTTATTGACAAGAACAATTTTATAGTTAGAATTCTAAAATTGTCAACAAACTAATATTCAATTTACCAATTTTAATATGAAAATTTTTATTAAACCATTTATTAACCACCTATAATAAAATCTGTATTATAAAGTGTAGACTGACTGGCAATTCACCAGCTTCCTAGAATTTGTTCCTTATTTATCATTTGGTTAATAAATCTATTGAGATTTTCTAGGCCTTTTAAGAAAAAATTAGGAAGAATTTACAAGAGTAGCAACAGGAGGTAACCTATAACTGCTGGGGTTTCGAGCCTTGGCTTTTTATTGCTTAGACCGAATACAAAGAAAATGTGGAGGATGGTGATTAAAAAGGTAATAAGATAAAAAAATCTTCCAATATATAATATCCAGAAATATGTTTAAAATTTGCTTGTTCAAAAGATTTTTTTTTCTATAAAATAAAGAATCATGGCTTGGTGTCACAAAAACAATGATCAAGAGGGAGTCTGTTCATGTTGATTGCCTGTAACTGGCACATCCAATGCCAAACAGGCATATACGGTCAAAATAAAGAATAAGTGTCTATAAAACGTTAAATATTGCCTTGTATAGTGTGAAACAGAAATGCCCTCCACATAATGGTGAGACATTAGCTAGAATTTCAACTGTCCAATTATGGGTAGGGCTATTCCTGCCGCACACTGTACTTGCTTCAGCTTCACATTTTCATAAACTTGTTAAACATTTACAAGGGGGTCACAGTCACGGGAAGGGGAAGAGAAGAGAAAAAATCATTTTTTTTTTTTTTGTACATATATATATATAAAAAAAAAAAGTGTGCAAGAGAGATGCACCTATTGGTACTTGAAGTAACATGCATTTTATATATAATTTCAAATGACAGTATTCAATATTTTAAGCCATTCTAACATTTAATTTAAAATCTTTTGCATAAAAATAAGCTTACTATAACTGTTGGTAACATTTGTCACTATAAATTTATAAAATATAAAATAAAAGGCATTTAGTGAGCTTGTCATATCTAAACAATAACTAATTTTAAATAATGAAATCTGTAATTTTGATTGCAATAGCGTCTAATAGTCCATATATGATCACTGACAAATTTGGTATTTTGTAGGATTTTCTAGGTACATTTTGTAACAGCACATACAGAAAAAAAAAAAAAAAAAAATTGTTTGAATCTTTATTGAAGTACTGAATATATATTTTGATTATTTTAAATGTTTAACAGCTGGAGAAAAGGAAGAGAAAATGAGATTAAAGGCATGTGGAAATTACATTTCAAAAGTGGAGGTTACATTTTTTTTTGTAATGTTTAATGTTTTTAAACATTCACATCCTACGTATCTCCCAATGTGAAGAATTGTCATGTCTATTGTATTCCTCTAAGCCTGGTCTCTGTCCAATACCCCAAATTGGATTTTCTTGCCTGCACCACTCCCTCCTTCCAGCAGAAGCCGGTTGCTCTATGATTGAGGTAAACCATTCATCACAGGCATTGATGACCAAAAGAGTAATTTAGTGTTGGAAAACTTAATCACAAAATGTTTCCTAGAACTGGCCTGGTTTTTCTTTCAATACATGATCAGCATTTTGTTTGTAAAAGCACAGACTGTAAGAAAACATCAAGTATAGAATCCCTTGCTAAATCAACTCTGAAATTTCTAACACTGTACCAGGATAGATTCTCTACTGGTTGGAGGCAGTTTGGAAATGGCATTTACTCTTCAACTGGTACCATTTCTTGCATTTTAGTCGTATTTATTATGAACATGAAATTGTCACAGGAGACATCCATAAATTGCTGTTGGGGGGTGGGGTGGTGGTAGGAAACAAAAACAAAAACCAGAAGAAATTAGCAACTCATTTCACTTACACAACTTGACTTGTTCAGCCATAATCCATGAAAGCCATCCCCCTCCATTATCAATATTTATGAAGAATTGCTCACTTACGTGGCAAGACTAACAAAAAAAGTGACTAGTAATCATGCTTTGTCCATTTGCAAGTGATTAACAAGCTTGTTCAATCAGAATCTCACCATTGTCAACGTAGAGATTACAATAAGTTTTATAGAAGCCAAACATTGAGCAAATCAAAATTTAAAGCTGATCCCTCCCCCCACCCCCCAAGCAAACTGGAAGTTTCTGGGTGAGATTTCAGGTGTAACTTGTAAAACCTTGAAAGGGGCACAAATCATGAAGCTACAATTTAGATATCAAAAATAAAAAGCCACTAACCATACAAAGTTTAACAAAATACTGATCTCCATTTTATTAATTATATATATTAATATATATATACACACACACACATTACATAACCAAATTTACATTTTGCTCAAGAGCCCATACTCAACTTTGAAGACTCCTTGTGTGTACAATATAAATTCAAATATCTTTTCTACACAACTCATGACAGGCACCAAACCATTAAATGTGTTTGCATCAAAACTCATCAACTGAACACCCACCCACCCACCAAACCAACCCAGGTCTTTTTTCTTGCAGTAAATCATGGGCAGTAATGATAGACTATATGGAATGAATTGCTTAAATTCATATTACAATGTGCGCCCTCCCAATATTAATATTCTATATTTTAATAAACTACCTTTCCAGATAAAGAAAGACGGTAATTTTTAATGTTAGATTTATCAAAATTACGGAGCTCCCAAAAATGTTCTTTGATGAGAGAGGGATGTGGCAGAAAGAAAGAAAAAAAAGGGGGGGGGGGGCAAAGAGCTGGGGTTACCACAGCTTGAACCAGATTCCAAATCTGAAATTTGGCTTAATGGACTTGGTCAAGTAACAGCCTGCCCAAATGCAGACTAAGAGATTCCATGTTTAGGGGGGGGTTAAAATAAAAATATATCCATGACAGAAATGGTTTCAAACAGAATTTATTTATGAGAGGATACAAGGCAGTTGAATCAACAATGACAGCCTGAAAAGTCTGATGGCCAAACTGTATTTAATCTACTTACTTACCAGGTAGTGAGTGTATCGCTTAAATCCTCTTATGCAGGAAAGACAACTGTGCATTAAATGAAGAACGAGAGCTGGTAACCTTAAATCCCACCCGACCAAAGAAAAGAAAAGAAAGAAAAAAAAAAAAAAAAAAAAAAAAAAAAAAAACTCCAATTGTTGCATCACTAATTTTAGTTGCTGCAGGTCTGTGTGTATGTGAATTTATCTTTTAACATATTGGCTAAAGACTCCAGGGCAGCAGAGAAATACTGCTGACTAGAGACATTTTGCACAAAAGGAAACAAGTTATGGCAGGACGTTTTTCTTTTAAGAACTTTTTGAAAGCTTCCACAGGAATTTTTTTTTTTTTCTTTTTTTAAATACAAAAGGGCTTTTAAAACAGGCACCTTAAATTAGCCATCCCTGGTCCTCAATTTGTAATAGCGAGAGAGAGAGAGAGAGAGAGGAATAAAGAAAAAAAAAAAAAAAAAAGTCCCCACCATGCTCAGCACCTGGCACCCAGTTTTGTACCATGGGAAACTGGTTGACATTTGTCAGTATGTTGTTTCCTGAATTTAGCAAGAACAAAAGTCATGAGAATCAGGAATTGGAAGTCTTTACACCTTCAACAACAAAGACACATTGAATTTTGGCATTTTGACAAGTTCTGCTCAATGCACATCCACTCACCATACTTCAGTTTTCAGTATCTTTACCCAGTGGCTTTGCCATGACAAATTAGCATCACAAAATTAGGCACAAATGGAAAGAATTCATTTCTAAGACAATGCTAATTGGCCAAACCAGAGTCAACAGATGCAGATCACAGATCAGAAAATTATACAACAATCAAAATGGACAGCTGTTTAGTTTAAACAAAACCCTCAATAGACTGCATTGCAGTACTGTATCAAATAAGTCGAATTGTTTAAATAACTGATTTCAGGTTACAATTTTTGGCACATTGTCAATTTACAAAACTAAATGGACAATTGAAGCAAAAAAGAAAATAGTTGATATTGGAACCTTTCAAAGCAAACAATCCAAACATTACTATAATGCTATCAGATTCACTTACCTTCAGTGGCTCCAAGTTACTGCCTTAAAAACTGAACTAAAGACACCCACCTTCCCTCTAATCCTATTGCAAAAAAAAGACATTTAAGGTTAATAGTAATAATAAAAAAAAAAAAAAAAAAAAAAGTTACCCATCATTTTTGGATATCACAAAGAAAAAGTTACTATTTTTTGTAAATCTTTCATACACTGCTTTTTGCAAGACCAAATTAGAGAAACAGGTTTGATTTCAGGTGATAATTTAAAGTTGCAGAACAAGAGATTGTAACATCTTAACCTTCCCATGGTACAGCTATGGATAGAAAAAAAAAGGAAAGCAAAAAAAAAAAAAGTGAGGCATGTTTGCATGGTAACTCACCCTTCTCAAAACTTAAGATGAAAATCAAGAAGCCTGTTCACTAAAAATGCACAGAATTTAAATGAATTAAATGAAATGGAACTAAAAGAAAAAATTCAAGTGACCTTTGTTTTTAGAAATTAACAAAACCAAAAACATTAAATACTTAATTTTTTTTAATTTTTCTCCAGTTTTGTTAATGATAAAAAAAAAAAAAAAAAGAAAAGAAAAATAGCACAAGAGAAGGAGGAGGAGACATGCAGTTGGTGAAAATGAAATGACTTAATATATTGCAGCATCTATGTACAACAATTGGAACTAAGTGATGAGTTGTCTTCTTTTTAACGATACTGGTAGTTATAATTTGCAGGTGGGGGAGGTGGAGGGTTGGTCGATTTCCCTGGCGGGGGAGGAGGAGGAGGGGCTTGTTGTTGAGAGTTACCACCGGGTTGATTCTGCATCCACTGACTGTACATATAAGCCATATTCTGTAAGTTTTGCAGGTTCTGTGCCCCAGCTCCAGTGCCAGGGTTTCCATTCTGTTGGGCAGGGGCTGTATTTTGGGCAGGTGCAGTTGGTGCACTGCCATAACCATTCATTGCATATGAATTACTTTGAGACTTTTGTGAACCGTATTGTCCAGCTGGTTGCATGGTCCGAGAATTATTTGGGGCAGGGTAGCTGGAGCTATTCTGGGTAGAGTAGCCAGACTTTGGGCCAGCAACAGCATTACTAGAATTATTATAACTGGGTTGTTTTGAATGCATATTTCCACCATATCCACTCGGTTTATTAAGAGATGATCCATAGCTACCTACATTGTTTTGATTATAGTTACCTCCAGAGCTGCTGCTGCCAGAAAACCTGCTTCGATCTGAACTACTGCCCTGTTTAGCTGACCCAAATGAACCCCTTGACTGGCTACTTGTGCTAAACGACCCTGACCCAGAAGAGCTACCATAGCCTCCCCGAGAAGAACCCCCACGGTCCCGGCCACTACTGTAGCTGCTGCCACGGGAACCCCCTCCACGATCTCCACGGCTGCCACTAGAACCAAAGCGACCACTACTGCCGCTTTCTCTATCCCGGCCACCTCTGTAGCGACTGCGACCTATAAAAGGAAAACAAAAACACTTTCAAAAGTAAGATATAGGCGTTAAGAATTACAATAGATGTGTTTAAGAGAAAGCACTGTTGAAAATTTGGAACTGAAAACTGATTATCAATCACTTCAGGAAAAGTTCATTTTAACTCCATGAGAGCTTCAAGTAGAAAGATCCAATTAACATTGTCAATAGCACCATTGTCATTATTTAACATTAAGAGCAAATATTAAGTTTTAAAAGAATTGAACATGAAATGTACAAATCTAAGAGGGACTGACTGGATGCTGAAGTTACTCATCAATCCCAACAGATAATTCAAGAAATGAACAAAGACAACAGCCTTTTCATGGTTAAAATATAGAATTAATCCTCGTTAAAATGGGCTTTAATTTCCTTTTAAACAGTATTAAAAAAGATGTCATTATCAGTTTTTGTTGTTTGTTGAGGCAGGACTGGGATTATCTCATACAAAGCAAAGCAGCTCCTGCCCTCGCAGAGGATTTCAGTTTATCTCCACATACCTGTCAAACAAGAGTAGTCATAATTTGAAGCAAGCTCAGATCTTGATGCCCAATTCAGATACTCCATCTCTAGCAAGGCTGCCATTCAAGGATCAAGACACCACTGTGTGTGTGTGTGTGTGTGTGTGTGTGTGTGTGTGTGTGTGTGTCTCTCCATGAGAAGCTGATCTGTTATCTTGCAAAAACAAACTGAGCTGCTGAATTCAGATTTTAAGCTGACAAACAATAGGGATTGTAAAGAGGGGAAAATATGCATGCAAATGTATCTTCTTTGCAAATCCCAAATTCTATAAAGAAGATGAGAGATCGAAGAGGAATTTATTTCTCACTTAAACTCTGCACCTTTGATTAACAAGGTACACTAAGCTCAAGTGAAAAAAGAGGAAGGGAGGAAAAAGCTTGGGAAAAAAAAATGGTGAAGTCTTTTGGCTTACCTTTTCCAAATATTCCTCTGGCACTCTCTGCCAGCTGTGTAAGTTTAGGGTTGATGGCTTGGTTAGCTTCTTTAAGCACAGACATCAAGTCTTGTGCCTGCTTCATATTGGCAGGAGTGAAGAAAGTGTACGCAGTGCCAGTATTGTTGCTTCGAGCAGTTCGCCCAATGCGGTGAACATAGTCCTCTGAGGTGGCGGGGTAGTCAAAGTTTATCACAAATTTTATATCATCCACATCTGTAAAATTGTTACAGGGCATTGCCAGGAAAACCCCCATAACAAAAAGAAAGGCAAAATATTAGTAGGATTAAGGGATATTACCTTGAGTCTGAAATTAGAAGGAATCCATTATGTGTAGACATTAAAACATGGAAACCAACAAGAATGCACACTCCCACAAGCTTGATTGTGTTTAAAAAAAAAAAAAAAAAAAAAAAAAAAAAAAAATTTCAAAAAAAAAAAAAATGGACAGATATACGTTTGTTGTAGTTAGGGCCAAGAGCTTACCCTGGGTAAGAAAAATAGTTACTTACCTTTAATGGTCATTTTCATTTTCTTCATCCCTCTTTTTTCTTCAAAGATGTGCTTACCTGTAACCCCAGGGTGTTTACTTCCTGTCCCCAACTTATAAAAGCACCTGGATGTGCAGGCTAGCAACCAATTGAAAGAGGGAGCATGCATCCGGCTGGTGTGTGTGTTTGGTACTTTGCTCTCTCCTCATGACTGCTTTGTTAACAGTAACACCAAGTTCTAGCTTCAACACAACTGAGTGATGACTATGTGACAGTTAGTGAGCTGACAGGGGCTGCAGTGGTGACGGCTCCAGGCTAACCATTTACTGCCAGTACTGTAGCAGCAGGGGGAGGGGGAGGTGGCAAGCCGGCCAGATGCTGGACACTTGTCATTTGGCTCACACTCCAATGTGCAGACTACTAAGTTAAAAGTCCAACAAGACACCGTTCAGCAGTCAGCCCTGCAAGCAGGAAGCAAAGTCCCATGTGCAGTGTTTTTAAAGAGTAGCGGTCCCTCTTTTGCTGGCAGGTTTCCGACATGACTCCATCAGGACAGTTGACAGGGGAGAGGTTTGAGGAGAAGACAAGTTGTCCAAGAAAACTCAACTTCTTAGCATCCAGTGAGTGACGGGCTGCAATGCTGAGAAGGAAATCCTGGGGCTTCATAGTGAGGAGGTGGCTGCATTTTCCAAAACTAAAAAGACATGACAGATGATGTGTTGCTATGAATCGGGAAACACCAGTGACAAGGTAGAATCAAGAGAGAGAAGCTGAACAAGTCCTGCGATTCAAGTTGAGAGAATCCAAAATAGGAGATCACCAATGCTCAGGTTTCATTCCTTGTCACGAAACAAAGACTACCAACCATTGACTTAGGGACATGCAATTATTGATTTCAAAAAGGAGAAAAGTGGAAGGGGTGCCCAGAAAGAAAGGCTACACACACTAAAAATAAAGAATGGGCAAGCCATAACAATTCCCACCGCCAAGTAAAATTTACAGAAGGGAAGGGAAAAGAGAGAGGGGTGGAAGTGTCAGAGACACACAAAGGCTGATTGAAAAAGCAAGCAAACATTTTTCATAAAGCAGTGGCTGCTGAGCGAGTCAGATAGGAAAATAAAAGAAAAAAAACATCAGCCTGACAAACAATGAAGAAAAATCCAGCCATTTAACAGAAACTGGGCCACTTTATATTTGGTTACTGTAGCTGGATTGAAAAAATCCAAATAGCCAGGTTTGAAGTGTTTCAAATAGTCTCTGGCCACTCAGACCATAAAACCTTTTTTTTCTTTCTTTGATACAGATGGTTGACATTAACAGGACAGTGCACTTGACATTGGCAGGAAATTCACAAGATAACCAGTCATACACACTAGAACAGACAGGTTCACTTTCAAATACACCGAGTAGGAGAGAAAGGTGAACAACAGACCCAATGATTACTAATGTCATGCTGTTTTGGTGAGGGGAAGAAAAAATATAAAAGCACATCTGCTCACAGTCCTGATAGCCTTAAAGAGGAATTTGGTAGCCATTATTTTTGTTCACCTTTCCCTATCAACAGCAGAGGCCTAATGCTTAGGTATTTAAATAATAAAAAAAAAGAAAAAAGACCAACACTGCAGAACATTCCACATGCCAACTGCAGTTATGAGATGGGTATTAAAAAAAGTTAAGGAAGAGATTCATTTTGGGAAAAAAAAAAAAAAAAAAAAAAAAAAAAACCAACCACATTGGGGGTGACTATTAACACCAAGTCCAAGCAGTCTTTTTTTTTTTTTTCTTTCTTCTTTCTCCAAGGTGTTTCCAGACATTATAGCAACACTCGTGTTTTACAGCTTACCAGTTTGTGATGACTCCTACATTCCCATGTATTCCAATAGTCTACAGAAGCATTTCTTGCCCTTTCCAACGTTTTTTTTTTTTTTTTTTTTTTTAGATTTAAGTGTGTAATATTCAAAGTTTGGGGGAGAAAAAAAAAAAAAAAAAAAAAAAAAAACAGAAAAAAAAAGAAAAAAATTTTTTTTTTTTTAAATGGGGAAAGGGAAAGAGAAATGCAACCCATTCCCTTCTCAATGTCATGTTTGTTTTGTTTTTCTCTCTCTCTCTCAGCTGCTCTTTTCAATCACCAGTAGTATTTGTTTGTCCAAGACAACCAAACCTGTCTTGAACCGGCAATGTGTGCTCCAAAACATCACCACCTCTATTTCCTCACGCCAGGTCAGGGGGGAATCAGCACTCTAACATATGCATCAAGTTTTATTAGTTTCTGGATGTCAACAACTGAAGAGGAAAATTTCTGCATCTTTTCCCCTCAGCTCTTGAGAGTAGTCATGCCGGTCCAGCCTGCATCAGTAACCTTCTATGATCCGCTCTGCCAAAAGAGACTTAGAACTTATTACTGCGACATAAAGCAGAAGAGAAAGTTACAAATCTATAATGCTCTTTACTCACGCCCACTTGAGAATTTACATGTTAAGCCATCAAGTTTTTGTTGGGTTTTTTTTTTTTGTTTTTTTTTCATTATCAATTTAGAAAGATTGAATTTTTTTTATCAATTAATGTCATATCAATTTACTTGAGTAAAAATTTCTTTTAGCTTACCACCCCCTTGTACAATTTAATATTTTCATTTAAATTTAAAATTTGCAGTTTAACTACATAAATGCTGTTGAGAGGCATTTATTCTTCGAACTGAATAGGATAACTGGAGAGGCTTAGCAAGTGCGAATGTGTAAGACGTTATTACCAGCCAAAGAAAGGGAAAAAAAAAAAAAAAAAAAAAAAAAAAAAAATTTAAAATACAAAAGAAAAATCAAATCTTTGCATTTTTAAAAGGTTAATCTGCAAGAAGCACAATTCCTAATAATTAACAGTTGGCTTAAATCTAAGTCATCTCCCACCCATGAAACACTGTTGTTAGGGGATACGAACCTAGACCTCGGGATGCAACATCTGTAGCAATCATGATTGGTATACGCCCAGTTCGGAACTCTGAAATGTTTAAGCAAAGAAAATTTAAAAAAATTAACCAAGTCCCCCCCACACACACACACACAATTAAAAATTACCATTAAGCAAATCTTTATCACAAACATGACGTTATTAGTAACAATTAAAATATTGAAGAGTATGAAGAGTACTTACCACTAAGAACCCAATCTCTTTCTGGTTGGGATTTATCACCATGAATAGCCATGACAGGCCAACTAAAAAAGAAAAAAAAGAAAAAAAAAAAAGAAAATTGATTTTGACACATTACAAGAAATGTGACAAGATCCAATTTCAGATGAAAATTGGAGCCATTAACAGAAGAGATTTTGCACACACACTGTAGTACAAGTGTATCATTAAAGCAAATTTCTTCACAAGCTGTCATTTGCGAGCATTTTGCATCATAGGACAAGTAAAAATTTGCAGTATGAGCAACTGTCGTATATACGGAAGCAGTGTGACCGAGGTAGAGGAAAGTGTCGCCAGCTGACAGATTATTTCTAAGAAACAAGTCAAAGTCAAGGTGAAGCCCATCTGTGAATGCCTGACATCAAGAACATTTATTCATTTTATTGGAGAAAATTCTTTAAAGTACCTATCACAGAAAATGTCACCTACCAACACTTGATTGCCTCCCTTTCCTGACGAGCAGAGAGGAATTGATGAAAGGAACTTCAGGCATTTCAGGAGCATCAAGACATGGAGGTAAAGGGACTAGCCAAGGAGGAAAGTAACAGAAGTTGAACCCACAAGTTATATATATATATATATATATATATATATATATATATATATATATATATATATATAAAAAAAAAAGACAAAACTGTCAAATTTTTTTTCATGGCATTTTGAAATCAAGAAGATTTCTATTGATAAATTTCTAAAGAAATGACCTGCAAGTACTGAAAACCAATCAAAGTACTGAGTGAAAACACCAGAAACTTTATGAAAGGTTTGTAGTTTAATAAGAGCTGTTTATTTCTTTCATTCTCTTATATTCTTATTACATGTACTTTTGGTGACTTGATTCCTTACTGTTCGTTTTCCATTTTTTAAATTCTAAACTAGACATTTTAGATGCTTTGGGGGAACTGAAACGGATTAATTAATCTTCCGTTAATTTCATTTGGGGGTAGAAATGCTTCCTCTCCACCGCCCCCCCCTTTAAAATACGTGTAATTTGCAATTTGAGCACTTATCCTGTGAGGGTCTCTCTAATGTACAACACATTTGGTTGGCAGAGGAGGGCACAAAGTTTTCACTGCAAGTGATTCATTATATCATATCAAAGTATTTTACAAAATTTAAAGCCGATTACACAATATTTCAAGCTCAGTTTAGGTTTATTGTTTGTAACCATGAAACAAGAGGTAACTTAAACTGGAGATTTATCTGCAGACAATATCATTACGTTATTGTTGATAATTATAGTGAAAATCATTAAGGTTTTTGTCAAAAGCATTTTATTTTTGGTTGTAAATTTAAAATATTCCTTTTTACAGGCTTTACTTTTAAAATGGAATAAGATCATTCTAAATTTCAGAGTTTCACTATTGCCCATCAAAATGACTGGAAGAAAGCAATCTAAAAATAACAATGGAAAAGAGAGGTAACAAAGCGTAAACGAAATCGCTCCAGTTTGGGTGCAAGTTGAACAAAGTATTCTAAAATTCTACAAACAAGATTTCAAGGAAAACCCCACTACCACCAGACCCGACATAGGAAAGATTAGCAAGAGAATCCTAGAAAGGATCACCAGGCAAATCAAAAAATGCCTTGGATTAACACTCTGGATTAATACCTAAGATGTCATCAATTGGGTTACCAATACCGACAATAAACCTGACTGCCCCTTAATTCGGTTCAATATTGTGGATTATTACCAGTTAATATCAAATGACCTCTTCACAACTGCCCTGGAGTTTGCTACAGTATAATCCGACTTAACTAAGGAAGAAATGAATATAAGTCCTCACCCATAATGGGGACCAATGGATTAAAAACACTAATGACATAAAATCGGACAAAAATAAAAAATGTGATTGAAATAAAAAATTATGTGATTGTAGAAAACCTGAAGGCTGCCCGTTGGAAAATAAATGCCTGATAAAATCCTGGCCATTGAGAGTCCTAACACCAATAGGATATACATTGGGTCAACAAAGAATGAATTTAAAATTAGGTGGAGGCAACATAAAAGCTCCTTCAATCATTTTAGAAGTAGAAATCACATCTCTATCTAAATATTTTTGGCATTTAAAAGAAATGAATAAAACACCAAAAGTAAAATAATAAATAGAACAAGAACTTGTAAAAATCGAATTTTATAGTTTAATAAAGGGCTAAAAAGCTTAACCCAATCATTAAAAGGAAAAAACCCTTTAGGAAGTCGCCAAAAAACAAATTGTAGTTCAGTGCGACGCATTTATATATGAAACAGCCCATTGAAAATAAACAAAATTATCCAAACACTTAACATACTATGGTGCCAAAATCTCTGAATGAACAGACGATGCGCATACAAGAAAGACATAATTCGCTTTGAAATAGACATCCCCACTCTACCTCAGATTGACCTCTCCCTGAAGGTGACTATGGTCGCCCCAGCTGTTTCCATAGTAACGGATGAACACGCTTATAACGGTACGTAAATTTCAAAATTGGTTATTCCTAAATTTTTGCTTCAGGATAAAACAGGGCTTGTTACTTTAATTCAATTTAATTTTAATAAATATATTGATGGTTTCGGCTCCCGTTTTTGAAACATGAGAACTTATGTAGCGAAGTAATAGTTTTTAAAAAATTATACATATATGTGCGCGCGCGTGTTTTAAGGTATGCTATATTTATGGGTAAAAGTGTTCAATATCAGAGACAATGTATGTAAATATAAAAGTGGACATTGAAGTCAACACCCAGAGATGACAATCTGTTTGGGCTAACAGTTGTGTTTAAGTATGAAAGTGTTTCCTCTGGATGTTGACTTCAGCGTCTACTTACATACCCTGCAAAGCAGTTTTTTTGATGAAGACTATCAAATAGGCTTACAATTTTAATAATATAGAAAATGAGGTTTCTTTGCAGAACACTAAAAATTGTGTTAATTTGACAGAAACCCAGAGTAACAATTTACTTACCCATCTCGTTTCATTCGTCGTTGCAATTCATCAGCACGCCTTTTGGTCTCAACAAACACCAACGTCTTATTTTCTTTTTCATTCATTATTTCCTCAAGTAGTTTCACAAGCCTGAAAAAGAATGCTTACATATAAGCATCTGTTATACAAAGAGAGAGGGAGGGAGAGAGTGAAAGAAAAGAGACTCACTTGTGGTCTTTTTCAGATTCATTACAGACATCAATGATCTGTAAAATGTTGTGATTAGCACTGAGCTGCAACGCACCGATATTGATCTGTATATAATCTTTAAGAAATTCTTCTGCTAATGACCGCACTTCTTTGGGCCATGTGGCACTCCACATGAGAACTTGACGATCTGGCTGTAAGATAAAGACATTAAAAGATGTCAGTAAAAGAATAGCGGGGAGATAAAAGAAAAAAAAAAAAAAAAAAAAAAAAGACAAAGGTTAAAATACCTACCCGAACTTGTTCCATTATCTTTCTAATCTGTGGTTCGAAGCCCATGTCTAACATCCGATCGGCTTCATCCATGACTAGGTACGTTGTTCTGCGTAAGTTTGTTTTACCAGCTTCCAAGAAATCAATAAGACGGCCAGGTGTAGCAATACAGATTTCAGCACCTTAAGGAAAAACAATTCTAGCAGTCACTTCAAAAATTTATGCATGTAATTTAAATGGAATTTCAGACTATACAGAAAACATTTAAACTGTATTAATGTATTTGTAGTAGGACAACTAGGAGCAATGGGCAACTTACCTCTTTCTAAATCTCTGATTTGAGGTCCTTTAGGTGCGCCACCATAAACACAACAATTTCGTACTTTGGAATGTCTTCCAAATTCTATTGCAACTTCCTGTACTTGCTGTGCAAGTTCTCTAGTTGGCACCAGAACAAGACACTGGAAATTAGAAATCAAACCACTCAATATTTTATATATATTTTATAGCAAATAGGGTTTCAATTATTGAGATTTGATAATATAAAAACAAGCACTTACAATTGGTCCATCTCCTCTTTCCAAATAAGGTTGATGATTTATATGCACAATTGCAGGTAAAAGAAACTGGAGAAAAAAAAAAAAAAAAAAAAAAAAAAACTGTCACAAGAGGCATTCCAGTATAAACATACTTTAAGAGACGGGGAGGGAAAAAAAAAAATACAACTGACAAAATACTTTGTCTGAAAAGAGCATTTTCCCTTAAAAACTTAAACATCTAAAAAACTGCAGGGAAGATTAGTACAGAACTTGTACACAATTCTATGGTGGATGGAGAGAGAGAGAGATGAATTACTTATCCATGTTTGGACAAAGAGGTATTGAGAGTGCATACTCAAATGTCACATTTGGTTCAGCAGCAAAGACATTAGAATCTGAATGATGCCTATGAAGAAAAGCAATTCCAACCACTAATCTCCTGAGAATGATAAATATTTCATAAAACTTAAATTCTTTGTTAGCTCTAAACCTTCAGTAAAGTTGGAGATTTTTAAAAAGAATATTTTGGGAAAAAAGGTTTCAAACAAGAGTTGATTTAAGTGGATCAATTTTCCTAATTGCATCAAGATTTCCTCAAAGAAAGAAAAAGCATTAAATATAAAAAAAGGTAGTAATATTCTCCAGAAAATTGATGTTGCTACAGCATGAAGAAATTACTTACTCCTAATGTTTTTCCAGATCCTGTCCTGGCAATTCCTACGATATCTCTTCCAGAAAGCGCAATGGGCCAACCTACAGACTGAATCGGTGTTGGGTCTGAGAATCCACATTTTGAAATACCATCCATTACATAATCTGGAAAGAGAAGTTAAAATTATTAGTAGATGATACTAGAATAAAGTGTTTGGAGGCAGTCTTCTTAGTGTAAACAAAAAACAAAAAAAAAAAAACAAAAAAAAAAAAAAAAAACTCACCTGGATAACCTGCTTCCTCAAATGAGAATATCGCTTTTGGAGTATTCCTCCCACGAATTGTTATATCATGTTCATTAAGGAAGTCTTGAATTTCATCCTGCAAGAATTGAAGAAACTAAATTAGAGAGCATAATATAAAATTTAAACCTGCAACAGTATTAAGAAAACATGGATAAATCATTGTGCACCAATTAATTTTCCAATATAGGACTTTGTTTGAAAATAAACTAAATCCTCTAAAAGGCATAACCCTTAAGTAGAACAGTTGAAAGGAATGGGAGGAGAAAAAAAAAAAAAAAAAAAAAAAAAAAAAAAAACCAAAAGAAACAAGCCTAAATGTCTAAGGTTACAAATATATGTATCCTGACCTTGCAGTAGGCAAGATATTTAATAAATAATTTTTTGTTCCATTATATATCATTCATATAAAAGTAGCCAGAAAGTAAGAGGGAGATTTTAATGAAACTTTCAAGATTTACCCAGGGAAAAAAAAAAAAAAAAAAAAAAAAAATTGAAAAATCATTCAAGAGAATCTTAGTAAACTTTTTTTGTTAAAAAAAGTTATCCAGCCCTTCCTACTTATTTAGAGATTTTCTTTTTGTAGCCCTTAATGTTTACGTCAAAAATGTTGGGGAGGCTCAAATAGGAATGCTGCAAATTAAAACTGTTTGATTAGAAAAGTTTTATGAATAAAATATATTATGGACACTACTGCCGTAACATTTTTTTCAAAGAATGAATTTTTACAATTGTTTTCATTTCTAGCTTAAATTTAAAAGTTTATAAATTATTTTAAGAGAAATGAAAAAATTTTCCTTATGGCAATTGTGTCCTTAATATATCTTATTCATATTAGCAATCAAAAGCTTTTCTAAATGTCTTCTCCCATTTTTTTTTTTTTTTTTTACATTCAGAGCAGATCATGTTATACCAAAATGTCATGATTGTAAGTCTTAAAGCATTACAAAAAAGAATTTCAACTTCATAAAATTGAGAAGCAGTTAACAGATGTATAGAAAAGAATTTTTTTTTGTTTTTAAATCTTTACATAAAAAAAATGCCCCAAATAATTTAATCTGTGAAAGGTTCAATAAGGGTGTGTGTGTGTGTGTGTGTGTGTGTGTGTGAGATTAAAAAAAAACAAAAAAAAAACTACGGGATCTTTCCTTTTCATCGAATTTTTACAAGAATTTTCTCAAATTTTTATTAGAATTTATAAAATAAATTTCTGTATAGTAATGCAGAAATTATACCAGTGAGGTGATATTGCTGTTAAGTAAAAACTATAAATTGTAAGTGGTAACTTCATTGACTCCAATATTTGAAAAGATAATTTAGTCTTTTTTTTGCAAATAAATGTGCTGATTTTTGTAAATACAGACATCCAAATATGACAACCAGAAAATAAGAGTCAACTACAGTAGATTTAAAACCAAAGTACCTAAAATTCAATAAAATATTAGATCATGGAGGTTATTTTCCTAAATTTGTAACCTTACCAAGTTGTTGAAATTTTAAAGCACTTGCATTATATTCCTCAAGTAATTTTTACAGATGTCCCCTTTAGAAATTTTTTTTAAACTTCCAGCTGCCAAATCCCTAAGAAACACCTACCACAATGTTTTTTTTTTTTTTTATTTTATTTTGTGGGAAAGAGGAAAATTACATTGTGATGAAAGACTAAAAAAAGGGAGACACTAAAATCAGCAGCTAGTGATTTCAAAATAAACTTCAGTTAATTTAAATTTTTGAAAAATACAGGAAAGTATTTTGCTTATTGGAAATATTAAATTTAATCTATTAGTTTGGAATTAAAACTAAAATAAAAGCTTCAAAGATATTGAAAAATTCATTCTAAACCCTAAATATCACACTTCTGTGCATAACAATGTAGGTACATTCAGGAATTTGTGAAAAAATGGCATACTGCGATAAAAAAAAAAAAAAAAAATGCCCCAAACTTTACACAAACTAAGTTTTATCAAAATCTTTACATTAGAGGAATGACCAAAGCTTTTATTTTTTCATCCATTTAAAACATTTCAGAAGTATATTCTTTTAGAAAGCCTCTGTAAAACTATGCCCCAATGGAAATTTTTGTGCCTTTTTCTAATAAAAGGATCCTTGGATTTTAATTAAACTTTCCGGGCTTCTTCACGAATGAGTCAGTTTATTTTTGAAATTATTATTTTTAGAAAATCTTGATGTGCATGCACACACACACATATATATATATACACACACACACACTTGAGTGCATTAAGTTTTAGAAAAGTATTTTATTTTTGGAAAATTTTTTTAATAAAGAAATATTCATTGCAAAAAAAAAAAAAAAAAAAAAAAAAAAAAAGGACACTAATCAGCTACTTTTGGCTCCCCACCCTTCCAGAAAATTAACTCCAATAGAATTTCTATTTGAAATACACTACAGAGTATTTTACTTGAAATACTAAATTTAATCATTTAGCTTTAAAGCTAAAATTAAAGTTTCGAGAGATTTTTCATTTATGAAAATTTATTTAAACCTTAGGTATACAGAATTAGTGCTGGTACCAATTTATGAAATTGTTATATTAATTTTTATATTATCTTAGTTATGAAATTTAAATTTGTTATATAGTATTTTAAATTTTTCCAGAAATCATCTTCAATAAAGCTAAAGTACCTAATAGTTAATAAAATATTAGATTGCTTAAAATGTTAATTTGTAAATATTAACTGGGTAATTAAATAAGTTCACATAAAATTTGTAAAATTGGTCACTTCTGTTCATCTACCCGATGACTTCTAACCTCAGCTATCAATACCATCAATCAATATCTGACAAACAAATCACCATAGTTAAGAAATGCTTCATTTTCTAGTTTTTTTTTTTCCTGCTAAAAAAGTAATGTTGGTTTCAAATTAGATTAAGTAAACTTTAAATTTTCTAATTTAACTCAACCTTTGAAAAAAGTTGAATCGTTTTTTGTATTTAATACCTGATTTTTAAAACTGAAAATTTACTTACTGGGTATAGGAAATTTATTCCTTTACCTCTGAATTTAAAAAAAAAAAAAAAAAAAAAACCATCTTCAAAAACAATTTTCTATTTCTTAATTTTAAACATCTATTGCGAATCTGTAATAATACCTATAATAATGTATATTTAGGCAGCAAGTAGTCACCCAAACAAGTTTGGTCAAATGTTTCATAGTTAAATACAATATGGATTTGTCTTGTACAAAATAAGGTCACATAAAATTAATTGTTTTTAAGTGGCTGCTACACAACATCAATGTGGACATTTTAAACTTTCAGCTTCTCAAAGATGTAAGCAATAAAATCTTGCCTACCACAAGGAGACTACTACTTTTGGGAATGACAGATGGCTGAAAGTACTTGAACAGCAGCACAAAGCACCTTATTTAAAAAATATGGTAAATTGAACAGACATTCAACAATATTTAATGAAACTTGTTTGGAGATGCATTCATACGTTTTCAGATGCCACCTAACCAACTTTGAAAACTAAAAAAAAAAAAAAAAAAAATACCATCAGAGCATAGAAGAGATTTTGCTGGTGTTAAACGAGGCTTCAAGGAAATAAATTCAAAGAAGTAAATAATGATAATAAAGACTTACCATAGATCTATTTGTGACACTGATGTGTTCTCTGTAGAAATTCTTTTCAAATTTAGGGAGTCTTGACAAATCCCACCTTGGTTTTCTTAGCCTTTCTCCAGGTTGGCTATTTTTGCTGAGCCGACCACTAGGGCCGCCCATGCTCCCTCGGCCACCAAACCTCATACTCCCAACACCACCGCGGGTTAAACTGAAGAAAAACATTTTATAAAGACATTTAAAACAAATTTCAATGTTAGAAATTTATTTAAAACATGTTTAATTAACAAATGTGTCATTTATTAATATCAGGGCCAGGAACAGAATTGATTAGGCAAGAAAAAACCTTTTGCGATTCAGATTTTGCTTGTTTAAATTCTGGAAAAATTGGAACATTTATAACCTCAGTGTGATGCAATGAGATCTTTTTAATGATGTTAGTTGCAAACATCAAAGATTAGGATTTTATAATCTATTGCAAGGTTTTGTTGAAATAAAGAATGAATTTTAAAATTCATTTTTAGAGATCATATAACAAATGTATTAGTCCGTTTTTTGACAATATACAGACGAGAATTAATGACCAATTTCCTAAAAATATTTTTAGTAAAAAATTAAAATTTGCTCCTAACAAGTTCTTCATAAATGTATTTGCTCTCAAAATGATTTAATATTGAGTAGTACATTTAGATCATAAAACACGCATTTGTAATCGAAGTGCAGAAATAACTCCATTATTATAACTGAGAAATTTGAAGGAAAGATTTAAGCCATCAAGATTTATGTCCCTTGTCTCTAGATCACGTGACTTCCTCCCAGTTAAGAGGAAAAAAAAAAAAAAAAAAAATTTAACGTTACTTTCCAGAAAAGTTAAACCCATCTATATGCTGTTAAGAGAATTAATAATATTTGCTTCAAGAGTATGAATACTGAAAGAAAAGAAAAAAAAATGTTAATAGATGAAGAAACCAATTTACGCCCATTGGTCGTTAAAAAGAGAATATATGGTGGATTTGTTTCAAGCCGGCAATAAACGAACATTAATGATTAGAATGAAGAGAAAGAAAGTGAAGCAACAAGCAGGCATGGTGGGTGACAATTACGAACCACTACAAAAAAGGTGAAAAGAAAAAGGTGTTAAATAAAATCAGTGGAAGAAGAAATCTCAAGACAGGTTTGGACAAATTAAATAAGTATCAAATGAAAAGGGAGAATATTAAAAAGAAAAAAAAAGAAAAAATAGGCACTTAAATTATTTCACGATTTTAACTCAAAGAAAAAAAGATCGGTTATAGTCAATTTAAAAATAATTATTAATGGAGTCGTTCTCATAAGTCGCGCGCGCACACACAAAAAAGCTTCCTCACCGAATTATTTTACAGTTGATGAAAAAAAAAAAAAAAAAAAAAATGGGGAAAGCGACAAAAACTTAGAAAATAAAATCAGAAAGTAGTTTACTTTTGTAGAAAATGGTGTTCAGACAATCGGTTGGAAATATTTTGTCCTCCACATTTTCTGAACATTAATAACGATGTCCGAAAAAACGGCAAGGTCATGTTGATCGGTAGAGAGCGAGAGATTAAGAAAGAAAGAAATTAAAAATAACCGAATGGAGTAAGAAGTCGTCGTTGCCAAGAAGAGAATCAGCAGAGGAAAAAAAAAAAAAAAAAAAAAGAGAGAGAAAGAGAAAGGCTTCATCGTCGGCATTAATCGGTCAACTTGATAATATTCATATTATTAACGCAGGTAAGTAGAAAAGACGAGACGAAGAAGGAGTGGCTGACTGTGGGTGAGAGGAGGAGGAGAAAAGAAAGGAAGGAGGAGGAAGGAAAGAAAAAGTCACTCTTCGTGCAAAATGAATGACTCAGTCGTTTTACAGGAAGAAAAATAATTACTAAATCATTTCAATTTAAAATTAATATCCAAGATTAGACATTTCAAGAAAAGGATTTAATTTAAAGAGTTGAACGGTTAAAATTCGAAATTTAAAAAAAAGAAAAAAAGACTTAAACTTCAAGAAACGCCACTGAAAAAAAAAAAAAATAAAAATAAAAAAAAAGATCGCTTTCGATTATGAAAAATGATTTTAGGGATGAAATAAAGAAACTCTGGAGAAATTGAACGAAAATGATTTTTTTTTTTTTTACTCAATGGAGTTAGATTAAAAAAAAAAAAAAAATGATCAAAAACATTTTAGGCATTTTGAAATCGTTAAACCGGATTTTAAAAAAAGAAAATCCGAACCGAATTTATTGAGCCATGGCAATTATTCGCATTAGATAAGTTTAAAATAAAAATTACGGAAAATTAATCTCTTCATCTCTTTTCTTAAATCCATTTTACTCATTTAAAAATAAAGAATTTTCCTGCCTAGAAGTTTTTCAATTCTTTTAAGTCATTTTTTTCTCTCTTCCTTACGTAGGCGTCACCCTTGTGTACTCAAATGACTCGATATATAAACCTAACTGACGAGATTTTTTTTTTTTAAGTAAAGGTTTTACAGCTTTAACAGATTAGTTTTAAAGAAGAATTAAGTTTTGAGGGTAAAATGCATTCAATTGAAATGAAAATTTAATAAAGACGATCGCAATGAATTAGGTAGCCATTTTTTTTTGGTTTTTCCTTTTACTCTTCTGGGAAATCAACAAGGTTTTTTTTTTTTTTTTTTTTCCCCCAGTTTCTTTCTTCCACGTCCCAAGCATATTTACTATCGTGGATACAAATTTAAAAAATGCAAATATAAATAAATCTAGTTAAAGATCAACTGAAATGAATAATAAAAAAAAAATAGCTTTTTTTTTATTCATTTAAATAAAAGCAGCGTGTTGGTTATTAAACTTAAATTGAAACGACACGAAGGATTTTTTTTTTTTAAAGAGAAAGTTTTTGAAAACGGATATAAAAACAGCATTTTTATGAGGTTATATAAAATTTTTTAGAAATATAACCATTTCAAAATTCTGAGAAAATGGATAGAAATGTTTGCCCACCTCATAAAAGATAAGATTGAATCATGAGGGGGGAAAATGCGAAATTATTCCTCCTACGAATTAAGAAAAAAAAAAAAAAAAAAAAAAAATCTAGAATCGACAGCGGACATTTTTTTTTCTTTTTCTACTCCAAAAATGAAAAATTGGTAGTTTTAAAGATTATATAAAAAAAGTAAATGTGTATGGGTATATATATATTTTTTTTTTACGAACCTTGAAAACATTGAAGAATATCGAGTTAAGCCTAGAACATTTGCGGACATAGATAAATTTTGTGTGTGTGATGTGCAACTAGAAAAATAAGGAAAAAATCTATTATTTCTTTTTTTATACAACAAAATTAACAAAAAAGGAAATATTTTAGAGTATTGCAAATTATATGGGTATTTTGATTTGTTTTTTCCTTTTCTTTTAAATAAATATAATAGCTGCGTAAAAGTAATTTAGTAAATGTGTAGAATAGTGATATGGCCGCAACTGCCTGACTTGCTGGAATGATCAAATCGTTGTTGTCGCCGTCGTCTTCTTGCAAATGGCTTACATAAATTATGCAAATTAGTTTTAAACAGCAGCAGCAGTCGATGATCACGTGATCAATAAGCCAAAATGGATTCCCTTCTAATGATTAAGAATAGAGATAGTCTTCACTAGTGACAGAACTAGTAAATAATGGGTTATTTACTCCTTTTCTTTTTCCATTATTATTACCTGCTCTCACATTTACATTATTTCAAATGTGAAGTAAAAAAAATTATAAAGACAGTTTAAAAACAGTTCTTTTTTTTTTTTTATAAAGAGGAAAAACTAACTATATAGAAGAAATCGACATGCGATGACCTCCAGCTCAACTTTTCATGATAAAAAAAAATCTTACTCCTAGTAATAAGTTAAAAATTTGCTTTTTTAACCAATCTTAAAAGAAAATAATCGTAAAGAAAATGCTACAAAAATTTAACTTCTAAGTATAAAAGGTTTCTTTCATATTGCTTTAATAATATCCTTTAAAAACTGATTAATAAAATATAAAAACATCTATTTGAACTAGGTTTCTGGAAGTAAGGGATATGTTCAACACCATATCTTCGTGCAAAAGAAAAAAAAGTAAATCAATAAGTCTATAACCTGGTGATGAAGAAAAGGAAAAAAATACATTTTGCATAAATATTTATTTAACATTTTTGTTAGTGAATATTAAGACATCAGTGAAAAAAAATACAGAAATTCGTGCCAGATTACGGACTTATTGTTCCAATTTCATATATTATTCGTTTATTTAACATTCTAAATAACCAAATGAATTGGGGTATTTTATTTAAAAAGCGGATCATTAAAAAAAACGACCAAAATTGTAGAAGACTGTGTAGAGTTTATGTTTTAAAGACACTTTACTTTTTTTTTTCTTTTAAGAAAACTTAAGAGAATATGAATTAAAAATACACATCAAGTTGGAGAAAAATATTGATGGACTATCCATCATCTATCAAAAAGATGATTATAGAGTATTTTTGTAGATTCCTGCTTGAAAAAGACTTTAATAAATTCAACAAAATCACGTCTTGAAAAAAAATTATTACTTAGCATTATATAGCGAAGGAACAAAACAGAATAAGAAACGTTGGATAACATTAAATTAAATTTGGTGTAGAAATTAAATCAAGACTTGATCATAATTTCGTTTTAATACAAAAATCAGATATTAAAATTTACTTGATGATGATTACTACTACTAATAAAAGATGATTATTTTAGGGGGGAGAAAAAAAAATACGTTACCCTTTTCGGTCGGCTCGGCCTGAATCGTACGATCTGTCCCTTCTAGACATTTTTTTTTTCTTTGTTAAAGCAAATTAGCTAAAAATACCAAAAAAAAGTCAGTCGGCAACTTGTGAGCAACAAACAAATTATGGTTCTTTTTCGTTCCTCTCTGTCCGAACTATACACTTCAGTTAATGTAAATAAAATCTATATAATTGCATGTAGATATATATAATTAAAATCGTATATATATATATACATTGATGTTAAGAAGTATGTTTTGGGCTTTTTTTTCTGTTTGTTCCCCCCTTTTTTTTTATCTCTCCTTATTTTTCTGTGAATTTTTCGATTAAGGTTTTTGCTCGTTTTGCTCACAGACTGAGAGAAACGCACCAGCCGCCGACACACCACAACCGAGCAACACCCTAGATTCCTACACGCAACTACGTCATCAAACGACTTCTCCCACAAGAAGCTAAACAGCAATCGACCCCACCAAAAACTCCAACCCCCAACAACATAATTATGAAAACTCGTAAAATAACAAAAACTTTTTCCGATGCTCGATATCAGACCCACAACATTAGTATTAAATTCGGTCGACCCGGAACTATTTTTTCATGGTGGAAGCTCGCTTCCAAATTGTAAAAAAGAAAAAATTGAAAGTCGCCTTCCGAATGTGGAACTATTGTCAGTTTCGGAATAAATCGTCAAATTTCTGTTTCATTTTAACGATAAACATCTAACTCGATTAACATGATAAATAAAAATAAAAAATGCTTAGCCGCTTTTTTCAAGTTAATTTTTTTTCTCAAATACGAAAATTAATTTCGTGGTATAGTTCCTCCCTTCCTTACACTTGAGGCAAGCTGGCAGATGCACATCAGGTATTTCCTTAAATTATTATTATACAATATATATATATATATATATATATATATATATATATATATATATATATATATATATAAAATAAAGAAAAATCGTTTATTATTTATTTAGTTTAAGAAAAATGTCTCATAGGAAAATATTTGCAAGAAAGCACGATGAATAGTTGATTTTTTCTTTTTTACTTTCCATGCCTTTTCAAATTTCACGTGGTTCTTTCAAGTATAGAAAAGAAACAAATATTTTGATACCCGGTTTTGTAAAAAGTGAAAAAAAGAACTTCTTCCCTCCTAAATTATTAGAGAAATTAAAAAAAGAAATAATATTGTGAATAACTTTGCTTATTATTGCATAAACGTGGACCGGCGTGCATACAGGTAAAAACTAAACAGTGTTTTAAAAACATTTTTCATCGCCTTTCGCAATAAGATGCAGAATAACGGGGCCACTGTGACTAACACCATCGAAAAAAATGGGTTTTCTGAAAGAAAAAGGCACTTACAGAACTCTGTCAATAGGAGTATATATTTTTGTAAATTCAGAAAAAAATTCAAGATATGTTTGGTGCCATAAATTAAATAAAATAAAATAATCAATCAAGTAAAAATGAATGTATCCATTTTTATTTTTTTAATCATTTTTCATGCGCGTTAGTGGATGCATTTATTGCTATTTTGAATATTTTTTGTTAAAACAAAAATAGTAAAGTTTGAAAATTAAGTATAAGAACAACAGGGTTTTTTTCTGACCAGTTGTCTCATGTATTTCAAGATTGGGGCAAATATCAACACTGTTGGTGAGTCAGAGTACTGAAAATCAGGTAGAAAGGGATTGTCACTGGTTAGGAATAAAGGCAAACATTAGTGATAGAATAGATTAGAATTATGTATCCTGAAAGGCATTGCAAATTGTTTTACTATATAGGAATGCATTGAAAATGAGGAAGAAAGAGATTGTCAGTGGTCAGGAATGAAAGTAAGCATTACTGGTAGAATAGAACTTATTAGAACAGTACTTATGTAAGCCATTGCTAATGCTTTTACTATAGGAATGCATTGAACTTGAAGGAAGAGATTGTCAGTAGTCAAAAATGAAGGCAAGCATTACTGATAGAATAAGGCTATTATATGTATAACGGAAATGCATTGCTAATGATTTTACTATAGGAATGCATTAAAAATGAAGAAGAAAGGGATTGTCAGTGGTTAGGAAGGAAGGCAAACATTACTAATAGAATAGGGTTATAAATGCATTGCTAATGATTTTACTACAGGAATTTACTGAAAATCAAATAGAAAGGGATTGTCAGTAGTCAAGAATGAAGGCAAGCATTATTGATAGAATAATATGTATAATGTGAATATATTGCTAATGATTTTACTATAGGACAACATTGAAACTGAAGAAGAAAGGGATTGTCAGTGGTCAGGAATGAAGGTAAACATTACTGATAGAATACGGCTATTATATGTATAATGGAAATCAGACATTCTGTCTCAAATCAATCAACGGTCACAGGTAACCCTCTCTGAAAAATCTGGGAAAATTCAGATTTTCCTTGATCAAATTTATTGATAAATCCCAAATATTAAATCTCTAACTTTAATAATTTTAAAATCAGAGCATCTTGAAATTATACTGCATTTTTTTGCACTTTGCTAAATAAGGCTTTCCATGCATTTCTGACATTCATAGCTCCTATGATATTGCAGGTACAGATTTGAAACTTTGTGACAATAGTTTCAATTTACTGTAGATTACAAAAATATAAACAGCTTACGTATGTCTTATGTATTTTTATAGGGACCTGAAAATAGCTAAAATGCAAAAAGATGCCATCCACTTTGAGAGCTTCTCATTTACAAAATCTATCAAATCCAACATCCAAATTAGTTTTCCTGTCTTTTATGACTCAATAGATTATTTCTATGCTGTAATCACATTCACTCCTGTTATAGGAATGTTGGTATTACTGTTTGAAAATTGCCCGATTCTTTTATCATCCTTAAAATTGCCTATTTTCATGACATCAGCAGACCAATTAGGTAGTTAAGAAATTTTTTATATTCTTACCACCTATTGCTACATGTCTGAAGATCATGTGACTACACCCCAAACAACACTAATAGCTTGGTAGTGAAATTTAAGATTTATTGTTTTTTTGTGAATTGATTTGTATAAAACTTTCCCCAGCTGGTTTCTGCAATATGGCAACACCATTGTTAGGTTTTCATTATTCTCTGTAATATCCTTTATTTTTTAATCCTAAATTTCACTACCAAGTCATTAGCATGGTTCAGGGTGTAATTACATTTTGTGGACAAACTTCTATCTAGGTTCAAAACATTTTTCTAGAACAACTTGTCATACTAAAATCAGGGTTTTTCAATTTTGGCACTTTATAAATTTGATATTTAAGAAAATATGAAGCTGAAGGTTGGTACTCCTATAATTTACTATGCAAATAAACTATTTTTACTTTCATTTTACCTTTAGTTCCAAATAGTTCAGCTGCTATGGTCACTTAAAAATGGTATTTTAAGATCATCTACAAAAGTTTTAACTGAAAGAAAATACACCAATGATATTAAAATAAAGGTTCCACCAGATTATTTTAATTTTTAAATCCATCAAGTAAAAATAGCGAAAATGCATCAGAATTTGTTCATATGATTTTATTGATACTCAAAAATATACCCAAATCAGTATCATTAGTAAGGTAAAAATCACTTCAAGGATATTTTTCAAGGAAATAAACAAAAATATTTAATAACTGTCAATACTTTCAGGGATGGATCAGCATTTTTCAACTAGCAACTTTTAAAGTTTGTCTATATTTCTGAGATGAGGTATTATGTACAGTATTTACATTATTTGTCGTAGCGGACTATTGTCCTCATCTTTATTTGATCGCTGGGGTAGAACTGTTTTAATTCCACGTTGCCATGTTTGATGGATGTCATATTTCTAAGAAGGTGAGTTCTGGTTAAGGCAGTGGAACGTTTGGCAGGAGATAACTGATAACGTTAGTGCGCTCGGAATATCGATTCCATTTAAAAAAATGAGGACAATTTCATTCTTAATTTCATTAGATGCAACATTTTAAATAAAAAATGAAATTTCATGTCTTAATTTCATTATCAGGCTTTTCTGCTCCTAAAATTTACTTATTCAGTGAACCCTTTATTTTAAAGTTAAAATAATAAAAAAGGTTTCAAATGGGGTAATTTAGAAACTGAATATCATAAAATCACTTATTCCAAGTGCCATGTTTTTAATTGATGGATGATCACAATGTTTTCCATCATACATTATCTCCAAATAAAATTCTTTAAGAAGACAGTTTATCAGTTCAATTTCAGAGTTTTAGCAATTTTGTGTTAAGGTTAAATTGTTGAGTGGCTCAGGTAGAATTTTTCAGCACAGGGAAAAATTAATGTAAACTTGTATTTTAATAAGTTGACCTGTTCCACCTGCAGTTGAAATGAGTTCTGCCCATTGAGTTCTATATAAACTTATGGTTTTTCCAATGGAGACAGTAGTTTTGGTTTTTCTTAAGTTTTTTTCTTTTCATTTTCTCCCTCCAGCAAACTTAGCTAGGGTGTGTTTGCTCATTGGCCCCTTTTATTTCTGTCCCTATTTTCCTTTAGTTTAACTCCCTATCCCCTCCCGCGTTAGGTGGTCAGTGATGTCAGTTCTCTGGTGGATGCGGGGTGCCTTTCGTTTCGCCTGTGTGTTTTTCGTATTTGTTTTTGTGCTAACAATATGGCATCGCTGATTGGTTACTTAATCACAATGGAGGATCCTGAATATATTGAAACCCGGCTTAGGTGTTTTGCAGCGTTGGCAAGAGTGAAAAAGTTAAAGGATACCAAAGCTAGTGGAGGAGAAAATGAATTTAGGGAATTATTTTTGGCCTCAGTGTGGTCTTGCGGTTATAAAAATTCTCCACATTGTCTATCTCAAAGTGTTGGAAGATTTAGGCCATGAAGAAATTGCTGCCATCATAAAAGCAGATTTACAACAAAACAAAAGATTGGTCATAGCGGAAAGAACTAAATTTCTGAAAAGTAAACAGAAACTAGACAAAACTATTATGCAATATGTACAGCTATTGAAAGAAGTGTTGAAATATTGTGAGTTTGAAAGAATGAGTTTGAAACAAATGTCTATGGAAGACAAGCTAATTTTGCTAAGACTGATTGAAGGAATGTTAGACATTTTGTACAAGTGTAAAATTCTAGAGTGGCTTCAAGCTTATAATATGAATCTGGAAGCATGTGTGGAGTTCTTACAACAACTGGAATTAATGAATTCAAAGGCAGTATAGAGACTTATAATGCTACTAAAATCTTAACTTGTATACAGATATTGCAATAAGGAAGATGAGAAGAGAAAAAATAAGTGTCCAGCCTTTGGGAAATGGTGTTTTAAACATAAAAAGAGGAATCATTCCCAGACAGTATGCAGATATGAAAAGTGAATGGAAAAAGTGGAAAATATTTGATCCTCCGATTGAAAGTATTTGAGATGAAAGCACAGGATAAAAGTAGGGAAATGTTGAGGTTGAACAGAGTAATTTAACTCATGCAGGTGGATACTGGAAGTGATTTTGATACCGAGGAATTTTTGAGAAAGAATGGGTAGACCAAAGTTAAAGAAAAGTAACCACTCCAGTTGAAACAGTTCGATGGATCAATCATCAAAATTTTAGGATGCTTTGAAGGCATGTTTGAAATAAAAAATAAAAAAAGATTCGAGATAATACCCCCCTCTCATAGTGATGGAAAACATCAAAAGCCATAGTCATTTAGGAATTGATGTGTGATACATCAAAACTGATAAATTCCATGAAGTCTATAGAACCAGATGTTGGTTTATTAAGGAGATACAAGGTGAGTATTTGGCTTAAAGAAAGCAATCAACCCAGTTATTTTTAAGCCTGAAAAGTTTCTGTTCACATGCTACCCTTGGTGGTTGCTAAGCTGAACAAAATGGT